TCAACATATAGGAAAAATAAAAGTTCACATCAAAGAAGCAATATAATCTGAAAATTAAACATTAAGGGAAAAGGCATTACTTAAAGTCTGGGGCTTTTACTGTCAGAGTTTGTGTCTAAAGTAGAAAGCCAGAGGGAAAAAAAGCAGTTCCGCTGTGAACTGCCAAGGGAATTGTCTTTATTGTGCCAAATGTTCCAGATGCTTTTCGTACCAAAAGACTTCATTTCCTGCTTCCTTTTGTTTATTTCCATGCATATAACTCGCTGCAGCAAAGCACTGTAACAGGTACTTCATTGATCCACTGAATAAGATTTTAGACCATCTTACTTAACATTTTGAGCCCAGCAGCACAAATTGACCGTCTCCTTCTCTCTCTCCTTCCCCCGGAAAGCCATGAAATTGAAGCTTCTGTTTAACCCATTTAAAATCAACTATGACATTTTTACAGTGATGAAACCAGTCTAAGTTTGTCAAACAAATGTTTCAACATAAATCTGTATTTTCCTAGAAAGGACTATTTGTCCTGAACAAGGCATCTTATTTCTGATACATATCACATATATATATGTCTGTGTGTGTTTCAAGACATAATTGCTGAACGTGGTAATATTTATTACATGTTTATGAGTCACATTCTACTAGGCACATTTTTAAAGATATACTCCGAAATCCTGGAAGCTTAATTTCACTATGAAGGCAGAGGAAAGAATGCCCTGATCTTTTTGGTGGGATAGCTGGGCTGGGTGTTGGGCTACATTGAGGCATGATCACGATTTATTTGTGCCTCTGTGCTCAGGAATGACCCCTGGCAGTGCTCTGGGGACCTTTTATAGTGCACAGGATTGGAGCCAGCAGACAGCAGCAGGCATGGACAGCAAATATCTTACCTCCTAGACTATCTCTCGAGTCCCAGTGTTTGCTTGTTTTGTTGATTGGTTGGTTTAAAGATCTATGGAGGAAATGGTGGTGCAATGAGGGTGTAATTGAGGCAACAGAATTTGTTATCAAGTTGGATATATTGACAGTGGGAATTCAAGGAAAACTGTCTGGTTTCCAGTTTGGGGACCATGTGCTGGCCATTCACTGAGACTGAAAATGTTAGTAAAGCAGTCTCCATATTACCCCAGAAATGAGAGGAGCTATTACTCACAAAAAGTAACTTGGTCTAAGAAAACTATCTACAGTCCATTTGCAGAGCCCCAGTGGGTTTTTTGTTTCGTTTTGGTTTTGGTTCTTGGGTCACATTCAGCAGTGCTCAGGTTTTACTCCTGGCTCTGAGTTCAAGAATCATTCATAGTGCACCTCAGGGGATTAAATGGGGTGTTGGAGATTGCCTGAGATTGAACCCATGTTAGCTGTGTTCGAGGAAAACGCTTTAGCCACGATAGTATTTATTGCTCAGGCCCCAGAGCCACAGTGGTTTTTCTTTCTTTTCTTTAGAACTTCCAAGCAGTGCTCAGAGAGCTCCAGACGCACTCCTAGTAGGGCTTAGTCAACTGTGTCTGGCAGTTCAATACTCACCAGGTTCTCTCCTGCAGAGCTCAGTGGCCATGCAGTGCTGGAAGTCAACCTCAGGTCCTTGTGCAGTTTAGCCATGTGCCTGACCTTTGGGCTATCTCCCTAGCGCCAGTGGGTTTTTTCCAAATGGAAATGTTTTGAGTTGCTTCAGAACCTGCTAAATATAAACACTGTTTAGTGGCAAATTATCATGTAGTGAGAAAAGTCTTTTCAGAAGAGGATTCTGACCTTGGATTAATACTGCAACATAGGCCAGCCCACCTGGTGAGCGGATGCTTTTGAATCAATTCTGATTATTAAAGTGTGTTCTCAAAGTTAAACACACTGACTATAGAGCCAGGTGGCTTGGATTTCACCTCAAGCTTTTGCACCTGCAGATTTTTAGGGAGAAAAGTCACATGACTGAACTCTCCATAATCTCATACTCATTATCCATTAAATTAGCATCCAGACCACCTATTATAGAATCTATAATTTTCCTTACCACAATGTTCAATTGTGAACATTGACACATATAAAATAAAGGCAAACCACCTGTAATGAATGCTAGTAAAAAATTAAAATTCTTAATTTCATTAAATCAAAGAGAAGTGTGTGTGTGTATGTGTGTGTTTGTATGTGTGTGTGTGTGTCATTCTGAAAGTAAAAATCATCAAATAAGACTATGACCTAGGACTTCTGGTAATCCCAGAGCTTTTAATTTCATAGTATGAGGATACCTACAATTTATAACCCTGAAAAACAAATATTTATTTAGCTTAATATTACTTCTAGTTCTGATTATAACAAATTAGCTGACTGGGAAGAAGTCTTGAGGATAAGAAGCACTTGCCTTTTATATACAAGAACCCAAGTTTGATCTCTAGCATTGCACTGTGTCCCACCTGAGAACAGCTAGGGGTAGTCCTGCTAGCCTCTGAACACTGCTAGGGTAGCCCTGGTGGTCCCAGCACCAGAATACCTGAGCAGTGCTGTATCATGGAGCCCTAGCATTGATTTTCTTGGCTTAGTTGGCCAATTACCATGGGAATTGGTCCTGTGCACTGTTCAGTGTGTGGGAGAGTCCTCCGAAGAAGATTCCCCTCTAAAAAAATTAAAGAAAAGGAATAGTGATAAGGAAGCCATCATAGCCCTAGCACTAATTACTTTTACGTTTAAAAATAATGTTCGTGTTAGGTGATCTTTCACTAAGATACAAGCAATAAATCTTTAAAATAAAAGTTTTCTTCTTTCAATAAGAATTACTATTGACATCTTCCAGGCCAGGATGTGGTTCAAGTAGCAGAGCATATATGTCTTGCATGGGTTTGATCTCTGACAGACACAGTTCCTGCAAAGCCCTAACAAGTGTGGTTTTCACGATACCAACCCCCAAAATACCAATAGTGTCCTTAAAAAAAATAAGATCATTTCCTGATCCTGATCAAAGGCTTGAGATCTGTCTGACACTCCGTTCTTTGCTGGCATAGAAAGGAAACCACTTCAAAATTTATTAAGAAAGTATAAAACAGCTATATTGCAATATTCATTACATTCGTGATGAGGGAAATTTTTTGTTTGATACCAATGTCATAAAATTATTTACATATCTGGTGGCCTTTTAAAATTAAAATTTCACTGACATTTTAAGTAAAGTTTAAGATGCTTGTTTCAATCTATAAAACTGCTAAAAATAAGATAGATTGAGTTCCATTGAAACAGACATCACATGAATCTTTTGTAAAGAAACATCTCCTTTGTTTCTAGAACACTAGCAGTTACTACATAGGAGAGTGCTGAATATGTCCTGACATGTCACCTACACTCTACTCATTTTAGGAACTCATTAAGTAGGTGCTTCCAATGAGAGACCAGAGACCCTGCGACTTCACATGACACATCTAAAGTGAATTATAGTGATGATGTGGTCATATCAACTCCTCTAAAACCTCAAAGTCACCTCTCTTCCTTTAAAACAAAATGTCTCTTTGCTCTTGCTTTATATCCTTTTGGGGATTTATCTTGAACTTTTCTTTTCATAACAGATAAATCATCCTTTCAAAGATCTCAGACAACCTCAGTGTTGTAAGGAGAGCATTCAGATCTCATTTGCTTCCTCTTATCTACAAAATTTTTGTCTATTTCACTAGCCTCTTCCTTTTCCAAAGCTGAGTCAATAAAGATTCATCATTTGAAAATAGAATCATTTCATATACTTTAAAAGTGTTGAATATATACTGTTACAAAAATAGAACATCAACTATGATAGAAAAATTAAGTCAGTCTTCCTAAGTGGTTAAGTCAAATCCATGCTGGATTTTTAATATCTCTCTCTTAGTTATCTGTTTGAAAAAAAAAATACTTTCAACTAAACCTACTTGTTCTTAGGGAAGGGCAGGGTCATCTTTAAATGTTCCCTATTTCAGTCAGTCACAATTACCAAACGAAAAATTACCCCACCCACACAAAAACCCTTCATAATAATTTGAGATCATAATTTTTATGCAGGTTGAATCCTGGAACATTTTCTTTCATCACTAGAGCACCAGCTTGCCTACTTTATATCCACTTGAGGCTTAAAATAATGAACATGCCCAAATTTTCTCTCATATTTAATTTTCCATTCTTAAGGAAATGCAGCCTTAGGGCTGCATTTTTCACTTTACTGATATTCTTCATTGTTTTACGATTTCACACTGCCTTTAAACATTGAATCTGTGGAGGAAAAAAATTCGACTATTTTCTATTACCAGAATATAGCCAGCTTTCCCTTGTAATTGCTCCTGTGCATATTTTTCTCCACAAAACAATTCCTCCAAAAGGTTACAGCTAAAATCAGGCTCACTTATTGGTGTGTATATTTTCCTCATCTCTTCTCTATTATTTTCTCAATTATGTGCAGTCTGATTTGACTCTTCTACCACAATTAGTTCTTTCATAATCTCTTTTCCCACCTATACAGATGAATGCAGCAAAGCTCAAATGCTATACTACTTGTTTATATACAGTTTAACAAACTTAATATTCATCTTTATCCACTAACCTGTGATATCTATAATAACCAGCTCATCTTTACCTCACAACTGTATTTCTCTTAATAACAATTTTGACGTAGAAAACCTAGCCATAATAAGCAAAAACATCTGTGACTTGCATTATTCATTTTCATTCGTATTTTAAACATACTTTCATTATTTGAGCTTAAAGTACAATGTGAAAAAAAATACTCAAGTATTTACACATGCAATGGGCCCTCCAAAATTTTACCAAAAATAATAAATTTTAATAAATATTTCATCTCTCAAAATAAAATACTTTTTAAAAGAGAAATCATGGGTGTGTTTCAGTGGTGGAGTATGTACTTTCCATGTATAAGGCACTGGGTTCAATCTCTAGCACTGAAAATATTTTTTTAAAGTCCTCTGTGGATAAAAGTAAATCATGTTGATTCTATAATGGTAATCATAAAAATGTATGTCTAATAATAGTAAAACAGGACGTCATTTGTTCCAGCTCTTAAAAAATATTTTAATCATGCAAAGCCAACATATGTACTCTAACACAATGCTGAAATGTGAACTAAGACAAAAGTGGATTTTTATTAATTTTACAGGATGTATAGTTGGTGATTGTTATTAAAAATAATTTCTCTAATGAAACTCTAAATATATCAGTTTAAAAACAATATTTTAAAATACAGCAGTAGGCAACAGAAACTATTGCTCTTTACACATTTTTTTTGGCAAAACACTGCCATACAGTTACAGAATTATAAAATAAGTATTTCATAGTACCATACAGATCCAGAAACTGGTTACAACTCCTACCACATACACATGGTATTGGTACGAACAGACATGCACAGCATTCTGTAATTCATACTGCAGTAGAATACAGAGCACAGAGAAGGCCCAGCAGCTGCTGCTGAGTCAGCGGTTAACTGGGAAGTGAAACATCTTTATAAGAATCGTACCTATTTTCCTGAAATACATAAAAAATAATGACAATATTGTTGCAAAATTTAAATAGTGAATGAATCCAGTCTGCAATCTCTCTTCTTAAGAAGAGCCCATATTTAACTTAGGAAACAAGTGAAAATTCCCCCTTATCTAAAAAGGAAAAAACAATACTTATTCGAGAACCTAACATTCTCCTCTTGTTTCTCTTCATGGTGAAGGCACATATGCTGTCAGCATTTGAGGGGATGGGAGTCTTAGAAATAAATTATCACTGAATCTTCTCAGTCATTGTAGCCCGTACCACAATTTGGATTTGGGTTAATAAACCACCAACGACTGGTACACTCCAGTAAATGAATTCAACTTGGTGTCTGTTCATTTGATTACTTCCATCAGTCTATGGAAAAGGGTTTCCCTGTTGAGTAAGCAGAATTCATGATTTGAGTGAAAGTTCTTAATTTAGATTGCCTTTCGATACAGTCCCTGAGGTCCATGGCACATGCACCAAAGAGGTGATTCATAAATATGTCCCTATAAAGCTTTTGTAGCTCCTTCATAATCTGTTTCCAAAAACCCATAACTGTTTATATCTTTATTTCTGTAGTGAGATTTTTGCTAAAATTCTTCACCTTTTTTTGTTTTGGCTTTTTTGATCACACCCTGTGATGCTCAGGGGTTACTCTTGGCACTGCACTCAGGAATTAGTACTGGTGGTGCTTGGGGGACCGTATGGGATGCCAGGGATCGAACCTGGGTTGGCCACACAAATGGCCTACCAGCTCTACTATTGCATCGGCCCAGAAAATTCTTTGCCTTTTGTTTTATTGTGTTTTACTTTTTCACAGATGAAATTCAATTCATCAGCACTGAAAATAAATGCTTCCTTGACTACTGTGTACAGAGCCTGATTTTTTTCTTAATCAAAGTTTATCAAATAACTAATCTTTTTAGTTAATATAATTTGTTCCATGATCTACATTGTAATTAAAAAATAACTTCATAGCACAAGTATATTGTATAAGGTTTCTGATTTTTTAAGCCGATCTTTAACATAGCAAGTAATCATCGATGTCTTTTCCCCTCTCATTCCATTGTTAAATTATGTAAATCATTGTTCAGATTTTTTAGCATAATCTATGAAAAAAAAACCAAAAGAACTGGAGAGGAAGAAGGTAGACGAGATATTTTAATATATTTCCCAAGATAAGTTAGAAAGGTCTAGTTATAATTCACATAACTGCTGCCCAATTGTTTAGAATTTCTTAAACTACTAAAAGGTGCTCAATAAAGAGTAACAGATATTTATGCAAATTGATCCCTTTAAAACTGTGCATTGAGTTCAAGAAGGCTTGTCCAGACCAGAAGTTCAAGTTAAAGGGGACCAACAGCTTCATTATCACAAGGAAGCTCTAAGGAGTCAGTTCTGTGCCACTTCAAGATGCGTACCTTGATTCTTGATTACTGCTTCCTCTTTGAACTTTACTTTTAGAGTGTAGGCCATAAAACAAAACAGCTAATTGCAACCTCTATATGAAAACTTTAATTCAAGAAAAAAATGCATAATAAGAAATTATTTTCCCCAAACACAGTAACAACAAAGTCTCCAATGGAGACGTTACTGGGCCCGCTCGAGCAAATCGACGATCAACGGGAGGGCCTTTACCTTACCTTACCTTTCCCCAAACAAACAGTAAATTCAATGAAACCGGGAAGAAGTAAAAAACAAAGAACTTTCTTATCTGGGGGGCAAAAATCAAGAACAGTACTTTGTTTCATGTTCCAGACTAAAACTATGCACAGAAGTCTCTCAAATAAATTTCAGATCACTCTAATCATCTAATAGAATTAAGTAGTTAAATATTTTCTTTAAATTTTAGTTCCATCTAAAATCAATGACACAGTAATATGTCATTGATATTTTTAAACTACACTTGTATGTCATTGATATTTTAAAACTACACTTGTGGTTTTAAAAGTTTAAGATAAGAATCCAAACATGTAGCAAAATTAAAATCATAAACAAGTAACAATTTTTTAAAAATTTAAATACTTTTTGTTAAATATAACACATCATTAAAACTTGTAGTAAGCACACTTTTCTATGAACCAATGCTACTGTCACAATTGAAATGCTTCAAAAAATAAAAAAGCACCAAAGTAAATTCATTAAAATAATTGATAACTGTGGCTCGGAAGTTCCTTATGACAAGATCTTACAAGAGAGTATAAACATGAACTTCTGAATAAAAACCATATACATTGGTTAAGGCACCTCCAGGCACTCCTATTTATAATATTAGCTTCAGTAATAAGGGAATTCTAGAAACACAGTCTGTCCCCAAACACAATCTGCTGGGTGGGCTGGATAACTGGAACAGGGAAGGAGGCAGGGCAGTACTCACTGTCACCCTAGAAATTACCCACACCAATCTGTTCATGTCATAAACAGTACAGAATCCAAACCTGAGAGTTGGTATATCCACATATCTACATCAAATTCCTAGATCCAACATAATCGAGCCCATCTTCCCTGTTAACTGCATCTAACATAGCCAAGTCCAGCCTACCTTTCACACACACAACACAAGAGAAAAAAGAGGAATTTTTTCTACATAGGAAACACAAAAATCTTCAAAACTTAAAAAACCATTACTATAAAAAACGGATCTCCATCCACCACAAATAGAAGACCGATAAATATAATTACAATCAAACATAATCAAGAATGTTCTTTTTCTCACGTTAGAAAATAAAGCTTTTAGAAAGAAAAAAAAATGCTTGATGTATTTAGTTCATCATAATCTCAACCAGAGCTCTATTTTGTACTCAAAAGACTCAGCTTTTTAATTTTTATTTTTTTGGTGGGGTGAACGGTGAAGGGTTTGGGATCACAGCCAGCAGTGCTCAGGGGTCACTCCAGGTAGTGTACAGATGACCGTATATGATGCTAGAGATTAAACAAGTATAAAGCAAGAGACTTAACCCTTGCAATATCTCTTTAGCCTGCAAAAGGTTTAACTTTAAACAATTGACTAAATAGTCACTAACCATACAATTCAACTGTCTTTTTTTTTGCTTTTTGGGTCACACCCGGAGATGCACAAGGGTTCCTCCTGGTTTTGTACTCAGGAATTACTCCTGGCGCTTGGGGACTATATGGGATGCTGGGAATCAAACCCAGGAAGTCCGTGTGCAAGGCAAATGCCCTATCCACTGTGCTATTGCTCCAGCCCGTAATTCAACTAATTTTTGACCACTCAATATGTAAATTTATTTGCTAAAATTTTTTCTAAGTAACTCAAGTGCGATACTTTAGTCCCTTTTTCACCAGCTCCTACTTTCTCTCAAATTAACGTACAAATATAGAAGCAAAGTAGATAATTTTATGACAAAATATGAAACACATGACTATTTCAGATAACATGGCATTTTTTCATGTTTAAAATTTAATACATTTTTAAATATTAAAATTTTTCTAGGAATCCTGAGTTAACATTTTTTATTTTCTCTTTAAAGCTGAAAAGAAGTCTCAAAATCTAAATTAAAAATGAAATTATACAAAATTTTTAAATTGAATTGGATTTAAAATCAGAGATGGATATTTTCACTTTTATCATGATTCTTTGAATTTCTTATGAAGTTTAGTATGATAACATATAATGTCACAATGTTAGTGTTATAAACTTTTTATCTACTATGAAAAAATGTTTTTGTCTTTAAGTTTACAGTATTTCAAAATATTTTCACATATATTATTATGTATGAAAACCAAAATTTAGAAATGTAGACTAACCAAGCAGAATAATATCTATTTTCTGTGAAGTGCAAGTTCATATTTATCAAGAGCCAATCTCTCATATACTTGCAGTTTATGGTTGGTACAACAATAAAATCCATACATTTACAAAGATTCACTATGTCTAGTTATTTGGCCATGCTTTACTGCATTTTAACAACAGCTTTTCAGTAAATTTCTGCTAGCATATGTAGTTTTTAAAATACAAAATATCAGAGTAAAACCCAGGGGACTGTCTCATATCTATGACACAAGGAAGTACATATCTATAGATCATATTTTTTAAACTATTAAATATACAAAGTATTCTTAATAGAAAAATCTAGACAGTCATTTTCTATTTGCAAAAGGAACAGTATTTCTTACTTGTTCTCTACAGAATAATTATTTCATGAGTTATTTACAGATTAGATGTAGAAAACATATTATCACATGTGAGTAAGCATTTAAAAATCAAAATAGTGGAAAAAAGGCTACTATTTATGGTGTAAGCCAAGCAGTTTTCAACTTGAGATTAAATATTCTTAAATTAATTGGCACAATCTAATCAAACAGCTAATTAGGAATAATATTCTACAAGTGCTATTGTCGAATGAAGTGTTTTTATTCTAAGGACTCTAATATACAATTTTAAGTATTTCAGATTATATCCACTTATTTACGTATCTGGCCACTGTTTATATTTTATCTGATCATAAGTTTGTAATATGCAATTAGAAATTAATCTGAGCATGTTATCATACATGAAAAAATTTACAAGTTTTTGAAATAAACGAATCTTATAATTCAACCACACAACAGCATATTTTTCTCCCCTAATTCTATAAATTAGTGAGTTCAGTGGGAATAGTGCTGTAACAGGAACATTTGGGGATCCAATGAAATTGAAATGTAAAAGTAGAATTGTTTCCCCACCTAATAGTCACTTCAAAAAACAGTAGAAAGCAAAAAAAGGCATAATCTGGGAACTAAAAATGAGGAAATGTTCAATATTTGAAAAATTATATACAAGACAAATATTACACTAACATTCATATAAATGTGAGGTTGAGCATGTGAACTTCAAAGCAATAAAATCATATTTCTAAAGGTGTACTATTTATTTTTTAGAAATGTTCTGCTTAAAATGCATATCAATAGAAATAACAGCAGGTGAGATGATGTGATTTAAAAATAGGATACAAAAATAGGATTCAACAAAAATTCTCTGGAGATTAAAGGGAATTGAATTTTTCTCAAAAGCCTAAGAGATACACTAAGCCAATTCTTTGCTAAACGAAATAAAGTTAAAAAAATTTATATTAGCTGATTGCTATACTTGTATGTATACTTTCACTGTATCACTGTATCACTTTCATCCTGTTGTTCATCGACTTCCTCAAGCAGGCACCAGTAATGTCTCCTTCGTCCTAGCTCTGGGATTTTAGAAAGTGCCACATTCGAGGCTCTTTCAGGGTCAGGAGAATGAGACCCATCATTGTTAGTGGTTTTTGGCATACTGAATACACCACAAGGAGTTTGCCACTCTGCCGTGTGGGCAGGATACTTTTGGTAGCCTGCCAGGTTCTCCAGAGTAAGAACTAGATAATAAGATGTCTAGCTTCCAGGAGCTGGATTTTATAATCTCTGGGTCTTGGCCGTTGATGGGATTACACGGAGCGCGGGGAGTGGGGGGGAGCAGTTGATGGGTATATATTTTGTACGTATACTTTGAAGTACTTAACCAGTCTCTGATCATTTTCTAGTTTATAAAAATAATAATAGAAGACAAAATAACCTTTTCTCTCAATATTAACACAAGGCTTACCAAAACTGAGCATATAGAATTTCAAATCTGTCCTCAATTTCAAGGTATGACAACTGAAGAGATGCGTTAAATTTGTTTTTTTACAGAAATGATACATGATGAGCTAAGCCGTAGTAGTAATTTTTATAATACAGATAATATTGAGATTATAGTTTTAGGGATCACTGCCTTAATGCCAGTTCAAAAAGCACACCCTTTAAAACTAAATAATTTCCTTTCTTATTTTTTAATTCTAAAACATATTACACATAGAAATAATATGAAGCACGAAGTTTATAAGGAACAGACATAATAAGAAAATTTCTTGAACTTTTGCATCAAAAATTGTTCTTAAAGAGCTTAATTGAGAAAATCTTCTTTACTATTTGAAACAAAGCAAATTCTTAAACTCCCAGAATCAAAAGTCCCTCTGCGCTCCATTTATATTTCAATACAATAATGTGCTTGCACAGTAGTGAAGCACAAGCTTGCTGATGAAGATGGTGAAATTAAAGCAAGCATGGAGAAAGGGAAAAGACGGAATGTTTTTCAGCAAGACTGAAAAACAAGTTGGGAAGATCGTAACTTCCTAAGAACCCCCATTTTACTTATCAAAATCTAAAAGACGTTGCGATATGAAAAGCCAAATTTCTTTCTGAATTTATTTCAGAGGGCCAAATTCTTCAAGCTAAAAAACAGAATGCATACAGCCAACCCGGGTTTGGTCCCCAGTACCCCATGATAGGGTGCTCCGAGCTCACCAGGAGTGATTCCTGAGTGCAGAGCCAGGAATAAACCCTGAGCGCCACTGAGTATGCCTCTAAAACAGACAAGCAAACAAAGGAACAAATTTGAATGCATAAACCAGATAAGTGTATGGCAACACAATAAAATCATCATCTAGATTTCCTTTATATGAGCTGTAATCTCTCAATTTTTTTAACATATTAAATGGTATATGATTTTTTCGTATGTTCAAAGAAACTATTGTGGACAGAATTTGAAAACCCACATCCTAAAGGTGTTGCAGAATATAATCATTTATTGGGGTTTGTCTTAAAATGTACGGAATTCATTTGTAATCCAAAAAAAAAAAAAACCACAGACAACAAAACATAGCTGATATCAAAAACAACGGCAAATACCAGAAATGTGATCTGTTTCTTAGAGTAAATAATACAATCGGCTTTTCCTCTCTTACCCAAATTGGTATGTGAGCTTTTGGATAATTCACTGTAATAGTACATCATCAGGGGAACCCGCACTTCCAAGATTCTCACAATCTTTGTTATGCTCATCACCTTCTCCATTGTTTTCAGGAGATGGATTCTCCTTTTGCTCTGTGGTGTTACTCGGTGTTTTCTCTGGTTGAGGATTTACATTCTCCGCTTCACCATCCTTGTCCTTCTCTGTGTCCTCTGTATTTCTAGGCCTGGCAGCATCGCTGTTGGGCTCTGTGCTGGGCGTGTCTGTCTCTTCTCCAAGCTCTCGAGGTGTCACTGGTTTTTCTTCAGCTATTTTGCTATTCGCATGATCAGCAGAGCAGGAATTTTTGGAGTCCTTGGATTTTTTGTGCACAGAGGTTTGGGTGCTGTGACCAGACGTGGGAGGGGCAGGCATTTTCTGAGCTTTGCTTCCCTCAGACTGTTCTTTCCGCGGTGGTCCCCAGATAAAATTTTCTGAAGGTGTGTAATGTTTCTGGGCAAAACGTAGGAGCTTTCTCCTTTCTCTTCTGTCTCTAATTGTATAAACAAAATACTCCAGAGCACTCTGTTTAATATTGGGAATAGTATTTTCCACCAGAGCTTCATGGAGAATAAATTTTACAAGAGGAGATTTAAAACTTTCATATCCAAGCTCACCAAGGCTTTTAAGAATACGGGTGATCCTTAAATAGTTGTGCTGGGATCTGGAAGAGAGGATGGAATAAAATAAGATGTGAAACCAGGTAGAAAAAAAGCAGGCCAATGACCATTATCAGAAAAAAAAAAACATTTTCAGTAACTATAAACCATGGAAATACACCTTGGAATTACTTTTCTAAATGTTAGCCTAGATGCTGTTAAGAAAAAAAAAAAATAGGAGGTATTGAATACTTTTACCCAAAGCAATGTCAAGCTATAGGAAATGATGCAACTTCAAACCATGAATTCCTCTTTCATTCTTTTATATTTAGATCTAAGTTTTTCTTCCCATGGGTGCTGAAATATTGTGTTAAATATCAGAGGGTAAGTGGTCTGTTATGGGAACAATGTGTGGTTCCCATAACAGATTACCAATATTAAATGTGTTATGTGCACATCTGCTATCAAAGAATTCACAATAGAAAACAAAGAGCAAAACCCTCCAAATTTGCCAATGCATAAGGAAGAGGTAAATACTAATCACTTTGTTGGAACAAAGATTGCCAAACTGCCAAACTGCCTTAATTAGCACAGCTGAATAGGTAAGAGCAAGGTTTCCCCAGGTGTTTGATACCACCCCAGGCATTGCTAGAAGGAAAATAGGCAGCAGTAGCCTGAACAGTAACTGGGGATCATTTCATGTGTGTGTAAACAAAGTAGATTTTCTGGCAGGGCACTAAGTGACCTTTTTTTTTCACCTGTGAAAAGGGGGAAATCATAGGCCACATAAATTTGAAAGACTCCTGTTAAAAACTTTCAACTTGAGCTGTGACTCACACAACTGACTTGTCATCTAAGGAGAATAGAGCTGTGTGAAATGATGTGTCTCTTTAAGGCTCAGTATTTTCATTCATACCAAGGGGAAAATGACCCTCACCACAGGGAACTGTAGTAAGAACAAAACCTATACTCAGGGCACAGGAGACTAGGTGTATCATAGATACTATTTAACATGACTATCATTGCTGTTGCTATTTAAACATTTGGTATTAAAACCAGTATATATGTATGCATCCCATTTTAGTAACTTGATTCTCTTTCATCTCTGATCTCTTTTCTCATACTATAAATTTTAAATTTTGCTTCTAATGGCACGGGATCCCAAGATGATGGCTCCCCTTCACTCCATCTACTCCCACTTATACTAGTGTCTTCCTTCTCTTTCATAGACTAAAATCATTATCAGATTTCAAGGCCTCCTCCCCATTCCCCCCAGCCCCACAACTCATAATCTACCTTCACTACCTCACTCAGCTTAATATTCATTCCTGGATCATCCACAAGAAATCTCTAAAACACACACACAAACACACACACGCAAACACACACACACACACACACACTGTAGCACCGTCCTCCCATTGTTCATCGATTTGCTCGAGTGGGCGCCAGTAATGTCTCCATTGTGAGACTTGTTGTTACTATTTTTGGCATATCGAATACGCCACAGGGAGCTTTTCAGGCTCTACCATGTGGGTGGGATACTCTCAGTAGCTTGCCAGGAACTCCGAGAAGGACGGAAAAATCAAACCCAGGTCGGCAGCATGCAAGGCAAAAGCCTTACCTGCTGTGCTATCACTCCAGCCACATATATACGTATACATATATATTAATCATGTGCATTATCAAATTATTTGTTATTTCTTTTACCCAAATTGTCATACCTATCTCAAACTTTCATAATCATCACTTTTCTATACCTTTCAAAAATTTCTTTTATACCTCAGACGTAACGTATGCTTTGTATAAGCATTGCACACCTGTCCTCACTTTCAAATAACTAGCAAATTATTTGGAAAAGATGGAGAAGGAATAATTTAAGGAATGAAGGGTGGTTCCATTGTATATTATGATAAAATTTTATTTGTACAAAACAAAACCTCAGGTTAACCAAACACTGGACAAAGCAAATCCAGTTTATTTTAATCATTTCCATAAAAAGTAAACAAAAATACTATCTTACGATTAAACTTCTGAAAGCCAAGGGTAAAATATAGTAGTACAGTTATATTTCAGCATTGTGAATCTATAGTTTTTAACAGGATATGAGAGTCTTCTGAGATAATATAAGTTTGAGTATTATTAAGACAATGTATCATGAACAGTTGGACTAAAGTAGTAGCTAGGTTATATTAAGTTTGTAGACTAAAAACTTAGTGATCAAAGTCTTTGGTCATAATATCTGCTTTATAGCCTCTGGAAAAGAAATGTATGGAAAAGTAGAGAAGGACACAAACAACAATATAATTGCACTCAGCTTAATATCACATATCTGGGACAAGATGAACAGCCAAGTGAAAATTTCTATATATTTATCTGAGTCAAGCATTCACCAACTTAAATATCTACTTAAGGGGGAGAAAAACAAACAAAACTTTGTGTTGAAGGAATGAAGATCGGGATTCTAGAACATACTTATAAAGAAACTGGGTGGTTCCATATGATTTGAAATAGATGTTACCAATGAAGGTCAGATCTTTTGAGTAACCTCTGGTTTACTGAATCCCAAGAGATGCTGGCTTTCAGGCAGAGGTAAGGGTAGTACAGCTCAGGGTTGAGCTGTCAGGAAAACTAGGTAGGTGAAGAGAAACACACAGATGGTGAGAACCAGGAACAGAAAAGAAGAGTGAGAGAGGGGAATTCCAGGGTCTAAATTTTTGCTTGATATTGCTCGATATACTCACTGTATTGATAAATACAATGAGTAGAGCACTTGCCTTGCATACAGCAAAATTAGGTTTGATCCTTAAGACCCCATATAGTCCCTTGAGTCACACCAGGAGAGACCCTTGAATGCAGCACCAGCAGTAAGCCCTGAGCATTGCTGGGAGTGACTGAAAAATTGAAATAAATAAATAAATAAAACTCGAAATACCTCTTAAAAGTTGGTCTATATATTTGTACTTCTTTTTCCTTCTAAAAATATTTCACCACCTTTAGTCAAGGCTAGTTTCTCTGAACATTACTTCATTTCACTTTATTTTTTTTAAGGATTTAAGGTGAAGGGTATATAGGTAAGTTATTAAAGAATGAGTTGCAGTGCATTTCATTTGCAGGAAAATGAGTACAGAGTAAGTATGAGTCATTTAATATTTTTCGGGGTGGTGCCAAGAATCAAACCTAGGAAATTCAAAAAGTATTAAAGTATTCATTCAATACTTTATTTTGGTTCATATCTATATCTATATCTATCAATCTATCTTTGAAAAAATGTCCCCACATATTCAAGGTGCAGTAGAGAAATTAAAAAACAAATAAATTATAAGTTTGAGGATAATTCGGAAAAAGACCCAACCAAAAAATATCTGTTTTTATCGACTTCTCCTATTATATATTTAACTCCCCAAATATAAACTTCCGGCAATTAAAGCATAAAGAAAAATTATTTTCTCTAAGACTAAAAAGATTGTTAGTTCACTGCTTTTAGAATTGTAAAAATTCTATTCAGGGAAAAGAACCCAGGAGATAGGTGTTTAAGAAAAGAAACGGAGGTGGATGAGGCCGAGTAGAAAGTCCTTACAACTTAAGTATCCTGCCCATCCAGGACAGGAGAGGTTTTAACACAATATTTCAGAACTATTCCATTTCTAGCTACCAATAAAAGAAACTTTCAGGAAAACCCAAGGAGGATTTACTCTAATAAATATATTTTAACTATCATTCACTCACCTACAAACATTCGCCAAGATTACTATTCCAATCAAAAATGAGCTTGGTAAAGAGATTCTAAAAGATAATAAACATGATGACATGGAAGATGAGGCACTATTAAATCATCTCCAAAGACTGACTCTTTGCTGATGTTCATGTTAATAGGCTACTTGCATAAAGTTTTTCAGATGATATGTCATAAGGGCTGAGAAACTTTAGTCAGAGTTAGCTACTGCATAGCTGAGTTAGAGGCTTATATATTTCTTCAGTAAGTGTCCTATATAAATCAAATATAGCTTGAGTTACGAGATAATGGGTTTTACAGTCAGAATTATAAAGCTTTATGCCCATATCTTTACTGTTTTAGTACAAGGAACCATTTTAATAGTGTTGCCTATAATTCATAAAGTAGAAGGGAGGTGCTAACATTAAAACATACTCATTTTACAAAAACAAGATGAAACACACAAAAAATAATGGGTGTACACAAAACTGATTTGTTGGGGCAAAGAAAAATTTCTTAGGTCACTCTTTATTTCCTTTCTTTTGGTACGTTCCCAGTCAACTAATTATAACGTGCTAAAAAAAACTGCTTCAAAGCTGTTAGTTTTATAGTCCAGAATTCATAACTCACCCATAATTAAAAATAAAAAAAGCTTGCATATGAAGAAAAGACTAAGAAAAACAAAAATTGGTAATAAGTATCAATAAAAAATATGAACACCCACACTAAACGATACAGCAACTCAATTTCAAATACACTATTAAATTTTCTTCACCAGTTTTGTGATTAAGCAAAACATCTGCCCTTAACCTGAATATAAAATATTTAAAACTTCACATTTAGTATTTCCCTTTCTTTAGTAAATGGACTGATACATCTTATGAAATGATTTTTGTATATATCAGAGGCTTCACTAGACAGTCTAAGAAGGTGTCATACTTAAGGGCATTAGAAGTCAAATGAGTCATAAGAAGCTTACAACCTAGTAAAGGGTATTTGAAAAACTCTTTAAAGCAATAGTCATAAATGTTAAGGCACTGGCCTAAAGAGGAGAAAAAGAGGACTTTCCTTTCTTTAACTGTAGTAGTGGGAAGGTGTTAGGATTAGAAGAGAAATAGTTGTGGGGCCGGAGAGAAATAGTACAGCGGGTAGGGCGTTTGCCTTGCACACGACTGACCCGGGATCAATTTCATATGGTCCCCGAAGAACCTCCAGGAGTGATTCCTGAGTGTAAAGCCAGGAATAACCCCTGAGCACTGCTGGGTGTGGCCTCAAAAGAAAAAAACAAAAGGAGAAGTAGTCCTGAAGCTAGATAGCCATATTACAACCTGAAATTTTCTCCTTTGTTATGACTTCGTACTGTTTCCAAATATAGGACGACAACTAAAATGAGAACAGCTTTTGGTTGAAAATCCTGAATCCATTTTCTAGCGATAGAGCAATCCAACCAAAGGGAAATAACATTCTGCCCCCCTGAAGCAACTCCAGAGTTTTACTTACTCATTCAGATGCTGAAACCTTTCCTGCCAATTGACAGCCCGAGCAACATTGCCAGTTTTGTCAATAAGTTTTATTCCAAAAAATTCTAGCATCATTTTATAAGCCAGAAGGAATCTTCTAATTGCTTCTTTTGTTTTTTTGAATTCCTAAGGAAAAAGAGTGTTTTTGAAATGTCAGTTGAGATGCTTCTACAGCTAGCAGTACACAAAAGCAATAATTTCACACAAAATGAAAAGAGCTTTACCTCAATCTCATATGTGGTTAGTTCTTTAGCATAAAAGTTCAAACCTTGTTCTCTCAATGGGAAAAGCCTGTTTTTTTCAAAAAATATAATATTGTTATGTTGATATTTGGAAAGAAGCATACATGATTAAATAGGACATGCTTCAAAGATACATATTATATAACTAACCATTGTATATATGTGTGGTTGTGCTCCAGCTTTTCATAATCTCCTTTCCACTTATTCAAAACTTCTTCAATATAAACACCTAAATAATATTTAGAAAATAAACCAGATAAACCTTAAAATTTTGTTGAAGACATTATAAGATATGATCATTAATTCTTTGTATTAAAACTTAAAAGATTTTAGAACAGCACATACAAGTTATGCTTTTAAGAAATAAATATCCTATCTTATATACTGCTATATAGCAAACCCAATTTTTAAAAGTTAATAGCATTCAAATCTCAGGAATTTTTAGAAGTGGGCAAACTATGATCTTTAATCTATTTTTTAAATAGTGGTTTATTAGTACACAGCCATGTATACTCATTTATATGTTTTACACTTTAAAAGCAGAGTTGAGTTGTTACAACAGAGTCCACATAGTTCACAAAACCAGAATGTTACAGTCCGGTCCATACAGAAAAAGGATGCTAACCCCTGCCCCAGAAGGGAAGAATTCAAGGAGAGTGAAAGAGAAAAACAAGGGCATATAGGAGGTAATTGAAGAGAGAAAAATTGAAGAAAATGTTGCTATTTTATACTAGACCCATATTAAACACAGTACATATCATTCAGCCTAATCTTCAACAAACTCTTCCCCAACTAATGTTATCTCCATTGTACTAATGAGGAAATCATGTGATCTGTTTATAGTCACAGACTAATAAAAAAAGTAAGTCTATACATGGAACACAGATCTTTCTGATTCCATAAGAGTAAGCCTTATCACCATATCATAGTAGTAACTTCTAATGTCTTTCTATTAAAAAAAATTCCCACTGCTCACATTCAACTTCTCATAACTAAGTAAAGAGAAAATTTGACAGAAAAAAAACACTACTATTTTTCTAACCATAATTCACTTTTGTTTCCTCCAATATCACCTGTTGGTGGTAGGATCCATTACGCTCAAAAGGTGTCTGCTAAAATACTGTTTTTAAACATACTGTTGGTTCTAGCCATCATTTGAAACCAGTAACTTCATAACTTCCCACATGGTCTTCTCTGAACTTCTCCACCTAGTACAATACATTGTTCGTGGTTATGCTTAATGTCAAGTGTGAATGTGAGGACCTGTGTGTGTCTGTCCAAACACATAGTGAAGAACTGTGACGACTGATATAATTTACATAATAAACAAGAATAATATGTGATTTTAGCTAAAATTTCTGACCTGTATCAACTTGAAGATTTCAAATAGAATTTTTGATAGGGATTACAAAAAGGTAACACACTGTTTTGATTTACCACTTCAAAACATATTCACTATTAGGAATACAAAAATATTTTATTATGAAATACTGTCATCTTTCTGTATTCAATGTATTTAATATTTGAAAGATCCTATAGATAAATTTTACCAAGTCCAAATCTGAGTCAAATTAATAATCGAACACTTTATTTCTTCAAAAGGCTTCTCTATCTCAAGTCCTAAAATGTCTGATAATCTTATATGATTACAATTAGTAAATAAAGTAGTGTGTTTCTATCATAAGTAAACACATAAGGGTACTTTTATACACAGATTTTCTCCCAAATCCAAGTGACTTTGACAGATAATGGAAAACTGATTAAAGATAAATGGATCTTGGGTTGTTTAAATACAATATCTCAGCAATATCCTTAAATCCTAGTTTCCAACTAGTGAATCTCTAAGCTCACAAAATAGAAAATGTCTCCTCCCAACACTATGCCCAGTCTATAAATCTCTTCCCTCTGTTAGTTTCCAAATAGTGTATGGTCCTGACATTTGGGAAGCTTTGTAATCCATGACACTCATTCCCTGCCTTACTGCTGTGGATTTGGCTGAGTCTCCACTGAGAAAAAGGAGCAGGAGCCAGGACCATCTGGTCACTTCGAAAAGATAAGGGTTCTAAGAAGAAAAACTAGGTTTGTTGGTTTGACCTTGATAAGATGGGATGCCCACCATAAGCCACCAAGAGCATGGTGCCTCAATGAAATGTGTATTAATTAGCCAAGTTATATAGTATGAAATAAATTACCAAAGTTACGAAGTATCACAGTTACAATCCTCTTGTGATAGATTCAGAAAAGCATTTGTGAGAGCAACTGTAAAGTTATGAAGGAGAATGGAAGTTTGTTTGGCAGAATTATGGAAATCTGTATTTCCCTTTCCAGGATATTAGAACACTAAGCTGGAACTGTTGTAGCTCCCTGACCTCTGAATCTGAAAATTAACAGGAAAGATCATTCTTTGATTGTAAATAAAACTTGACAATTATGTGCAAAGTAGTTCTCAGATATAGCACAGTGGAGATAACGATGAGCTCTGAAGCAAGCAAGACCCAATTCAACAACCATGCAAGCTCACACGTCAGTCATTCAAGCTGGTAGACCTCTTGACTTCGTCTTCTCCTCTAATATAGCCTCATAATCTAATATTCTATGTTCTTATAAATCTCTCTCTTACCAAAAAAATGCACCTTTCTACCTTTCAGATAACAGCCACCAAATATAGGTGCTGCAAATGTCTTACTTTTTAGAGCTTTTCATCTAGACTTTGTTAAAATGGACGCTCAGGACTCTATAGTTAAGGATTTGGGCACCTATTGAAATGCATAGCAAAGTCAGTTTTTGAACAAACACACTGATATTTCTTGACCATCGAGTAAACAAAAAATCCATAACTTACAGGTAATACGTGCTTTTCACCAAATCACAGATTACTCACCATCTGGCTTAAATGGAATTTTATTCTTATAAAAACGAAGATTGCTCAAGTCATTTTGATATCGGATATCTTTGAAGTTCTGCTAAGAAAAACCACAAATCAGTCTCCAAAATATATTACAAAGAACTGAGAATTCTTGCATGTTTGCTCAGCAGCATCACAAATTTAGAAAAACAGAAACATTTCACATCTGGGGAAAAAAAATTCTATGCGCTTACTTACTGGATACTGGTGACGATATTTGTATAGATCTCTTGCAGCATAAAAACTTCTCTTTGGTTTGGTGGTTGCTTCAGTGGAGTCACCACCCTAAATTAAAGAGGAATTTTTTTTACATATTGAAAGCATAATAATTTCATCAAGAAGTTTCCAGAACAATCTTAAAACAATAAATATTCATAAAGAAAGCATTTCATATTTTTTTTACTAGCAATGTCTTCCTCATTCATACCCAATAACATTTGTCTTAAGGGTATAAGAAATTTTATAAAAAGTTTATTATTCATTAAAAACCCACAGAAGCCACAGTTATGGATGGATATCCAATAGAAATAGAATACAAAATGAAGTTCAGATGCATTTTACCAAAACTTACCCTAGTGATTTTATGACAAAATTTATTTTAGAATATTTTACATAGTACCAAAAATAAACAATTGGTATTATTTATTCAGAAAGTAAATAATGTTAAAATAAATCAATCCCCCAAAGAAAATTGTCATTAATTTTGCAACATTTAATTTTATTCGGAAGTCAAGTTGACAAAGGGAATTGACAAAGGGAAAAGAGATTTGCCAAAAACAACTTTCTTTTTTATTTGGGGGTGTGGTATAGATCACACACAGTGATGCTCAGTTGTTACTCTTGTATCTGCAATCAAGAATTACTTCTGGCAGAGCTTGGGGATTATATACAGTAACAGGGATAAAACACGGGTTTGTTCATGCAAGGCAAACGCCCTACTCACTCTAATATCTCTCTGACCCCCACTAATCAACTTTCCAAACTCTGCAGCATACCACAACATGTACAGGATGGTATAAATAATCTTGTTAATTGAATGAAAATACAGTTTGACGTAAATGAACAAATTTAAAACATAATGAACTTCAGTTTACAGTAGTTTATATGTGGCAATTTGCCATGCTATTTATATTCTAAGCCAAATTCCCAGTACCAGAAATCATTCTTAAGCAAAATGCAAGGCAATAAAACTTCTCAGTTTCTATATGTAAAGTATGTGGTTCAGTTCATAATAAATGTTCAGTTCGTGTGTTTCAATATGCTGATTCTGACTCATTAGCGTCTACTATAGCACTGTAGCACTGTCCTCCCATTGTTCATCGATTTCCTCGAGTAGGCACCAGTAACATCTCCATTGTGAGTACTTGTTACTGTTTTTGACATATCAAATACACCACGGGGAGCTTGCCAGGCTCTGCTGTGTGGGCGGGATACTCTCGGTATCTTGCTGGGCTCTCCAAGAGAGACAGAGGAATCGAACCCGGGTCGGCCTTGTGCAAGGCAAATGTCCTACCTGCTATGCTATTGCTCCAGCCCACTGCTGTTCCTACAGCACAGCAGATAGGGCTTTGCCTTGCACGCGGCCAACCTGGTGGACCCGAGCTCGATTCTGCTGCCCCTCTTGAAGAGCTTGGCAAGCTACTGTCTTCATAGCAAAGCCTGCCAAGCTACCCATGAGGTATTCGATATGCCAAACACAGTAACAACAAGTCTCACAATGGAAACGTTACTGGGCCCGCTCGAGCAAATCGATGAACAACGGGAGGACAGTGACAGTGATAGTGACTTCTAGCTCACTGATTGCATATAGAAATACAAGGAAAGTATGTGGTATGTTGTAATATATAAGAAAATGCTTTGTGTTTAATGTTATGCACAAATGATAAATGAGAATGATGAAACCAAAGATAAAGTTTAAAGCTGAATATTCAGTAAAATCCTCCCGCCCAATCCTTTCCTCATCACCCCCACCCCCATCTGTGTTGACAGACTGGCATCCTGTAAGCAATTTTCACACATTTCTGAAGTGGTGTGATTCTCACTATTACTACAAGTACAGAGATACTTACTTTAACACCAAATTCTCTGATGTTTAACATTAGCTACTCTGTCATGTTACATAAGCAAAAAAAGAAAAAAAAAAAGCTTAAATTCTGGTCCTTACCACACGTTTCAAAATAGCTCTGCCTAGCAAGTTTCTGAATCTATTTAGTCTGAGCTACAACCACATGAATCATCATCTTGCATTTGTATAGAAAGCACTTTTCCATTTACAAAACACTTTACATGTATATTATTGCATTTGATTCTTACAGCACACCTGCTGCAGTTCTTCGTGTCTTCCTGCATCTTAAAAACAAGATAGCCCAGACGTAGGGAAGTTGAACAAGACCGAGTCCAGTTAACAGGGCAGGAACTACATTCCCAGATTCTAAGTGACTAGATCCAAATCTAATTTCAGTTCTACTAAAAAATTGACAGATCATAATAGACACCTCGGTAGACTGTCAACAGTCCAAGAGGTAGAGTGAGGAAATTTTACAGCATCTTAAGGTGATTACTTACTTGTGAAGCCTTAAGCAAATCACTTAACTGAATCTTCCTTTTATCATCTGTGAAATGAAGATAATGACTCATGCCCTACATAGTTCCAGAATTATCATGAGAATGACTGCATCCTCTGAGCTCCAAATCCACCAACCTACAAGCATCCGTCTCAACTCCTCCAACTTCTGCTCTTCTTTAATTCTCTAGTTGTTCCTTATCCTGCTTATACAAGGATTTTCCTCCCTTCCTTCCTTTTTTCTTTTCTTTCTTTTCTGGCAGTAGGGGAGCGGAGGGGGCAGGGAGACACCGGCAATGCTCAAGGCTTACTCCTGGCTCTGTGCTCAGGGATCACTCTTGGCAGGGCTGACAGGGAGGGAGGGGTGGCATACGGGATGTAGGGCAAGTATGTTATCCTCTGTACTCCTCTGTACTATCTCTCCACCCTTCCCTCTTTCCTTTCCTCCCTTCCATCCCCTTCTTATCTTCCACTTTCCTTTCTATGTGTACGTATATACACACACATATTTAGTTTTGAGGTGTGCTCTCTTGCTCTCTCTCTCTCTCTCTCTCTCTCTCTCTCTCTCTCTTTCTTCTCCCTTTCTCTCTGTCACACACACAGAGCCTCAAAACAAAATGTGTGTGTATATATATATGGGGCTGGAGTGATAGCACAGAGGCAAGGCGTTTGCCTTGCACACAGCCAACCCGGCTGAGCCAGGTTCGATTCCTCCGTCCCTCTCAGAGAGCCCGGCAAGCTACCTCACCTGCACTGCAAAGCCTGGCAAGCTCCCTGTGATGTATTCAATATGCCAAACACAGTAACACAGTAACAACAATGGAGACGTTACTGGGCCCGCTCGAGAAAATTGATGAACAACGGGAGGACAGTGACTCGATATATATATATATATATATATATATATATATATATATATATATCAAGGCTATACGTTGAGGCTATACCTAGAGCTAGAGGAGCCTCCTGGCTTCCTGGCTCAGTGCTTGGATCACTCCTGAAGTGCTCAGGGGACCCTGTTGTGCCAGGAATCAAATCTTGTGCCATGCTTCGCCTGCACTCCAGCCTACTGTGCTAGCTCTCCAGCCCAGGATTCTATTTCTTAATATATTGTTTCTACTTCCTGCATTATCAAATCATTCTTTCTTCTGGATCATTCCCCTTAGCAAACAGGATGTCGCATTGCTAATCTGAAAACAAAAATATTCCTCCATTCAAATCTTTCCTCAGCTACCTTCAGGAACTCTGTCCATTTTATAGGTAAGTATCACCAGAAGTTTCTCATAGTCCATCTCCTTCATATTTGCCCTGTGTCCTGGGCCCATCAACCTTGTAACCTCAGCATACCATCAGAAGAGCTCTGTGAAGGTCACTATCAAATATCTATCTTGCCAAATCACTTTTGGTTTTTTAAACTTACGGAACATGCCCTGAAGTGCTGGTGTCCAGGGCTACACAGCCCAGCCCAGCACAGCCTGGTATATGCTCTACTACTTAAGCACCCAGCCCCTTGTCAAATCATTTATCAGTGCTCAATTCAGATGACCTCCCAGCAGCACTGGACCAGTTTAGGCTTCCCTCCTACCTCAGTCAGACATCTCACCTTTCCCACTTTCTTCCGTTTTCAGGGGCTGGCAACGTCAGCTTCCATTCTGCTTCCTTCCCTTCACATACACTATGTGGAGAAGTATCTCGGGTTTAGTCCTCAATCCTCATCATCCCCGACAACCATTTATCTTCCCCTGACTCAAGCTATTTTACATGCTGTTTCCAGTCCTGGACTGAGGCTCTATCCACAGTTATAATTAATTATTCAAAAATTGTACTGGATATCTACTTGATTGTCAAACTCAAGAGAATTTTTGGTTGTCATGGAGATGCTGGGGGATAGGAGGTATTAGTGGGACTGATAGTGAAGGGGATCTAAACTTTGTACCTGTGATTGACCTCTTGGACCACAGCACAGGCCAAAAGAAGTCTTGGTTTAACCTCTAAAGCTTTCTCCCTTGACTCTTCCATTTTACTGAATGGCATCAAAGGAGATGAGGAGAAGTAATCAGTTTGAGACATAGTTTAAGTAGTATATGCCAATGAACTGGAAATTCAGGAACTGGGTTCGTCATCAAAAAGCAAACTAAAGGGGCCAGAGCAATAGGACAGTGGGTAGGGCATTTGCTTTGCACATGGCCGACCCGAGTTCAATCCTTGGTATCCAATGCGGTACCCCAAGCACCGCCAGGAATAATTCCTGAGTGCAGAGCCAGGAATAACCCCTCTGCAGAGCTGGGTATGACCCAAAAAGAAAAAAAAATAGCAAACTGAAAATAGACATTGTACAAAGTTAAGTGGCAAGACTAATAAAAATAATACAACAACAATGGGCAAAGGGAGTGTTGTGGTCTACCATTTACTGGGGCTATAATGACTGAAACATTTGATCATATGATTGCTTGTTCACTAGAATGAATCTGAGCTGGTGTTTTTGGTAAACCCCAAACATCTCTGAAAGGTCACTTAATTGGACACAAGAAGAAGGCGGGAAAGGTGAGATAGGTCATCTAACATTTTTCTCCATGACCGGAAGATTCAAAACGACTTAGCAGCAGCCAATGAGAACACAAGAGACAGAGGGATATTCCCAATTCTAAGATGTTCAAGATCCTGACACTGGGGGATATGCCGATCTTGAGTTTGAATCATACCCTCCCTGGATTATCTTGAGCAAGTTTCTCTCTCAATTTTCTCTAAAATAGGGATGAGAAACGGAAATTCCAACCTCACCCTAGAAATTGCAGTCGACTGAAACAACATGCTTCGAATTAAGCCTCTCTGTACTCTCTTTCCCACCCAAATCGAGCCGGTCATGAGGACGAAGAAGACTAGTTTTGGCGATCACACACAGGGGTGGCTCTTCAGTAGTCAAGAACCCTGTGGTCGCATCTAACAACAACAGGCTCCGTTTCTTGGATTCTTCCTTGGCATCCTCAGTCCCCCGGGGCTGATGAAAAGGGGACCTTGGGCTCCTGGGCGCTGCACACTTCCGTCGTGCGTCTGCAGTTCCTCCTTTGAAAGTTTCAGAAGGGGCATTCGCCTCTGAGCTCGCCTCTTCCCCAAATGGCATCAGGCTCATGCACAACAGCAGGATCAACAAGTCTCTCCGGCCTCGATAAGATTCTGAGCGCCTCGGAAGGGGCTCGGTGTAGAGAGAGGCCTTAGCAAGAGGGGCGAGCAAGGAGGCGTTTACGCACTTGCCAAGGGGACCAGCTAGGACTGGGGACCCCCACAATCGGGGCCGCGCTCAAGCTTCCAACGTGGCCCCTGGTGGGAGGGGGGGTAATTTTGACCAATCAGGCACACACGATCCGCTATTTTTAGGCAGGTTCCCCCCCCCCACCCCCCGCCCAAGTCCACCTTCACATCACCCAGCCGCGCTGCAGAGGCCAAGAAAACACCCGCTCCAACTTGGCATCTGCCAAAAGGGGACTTCCCGGGGTGGGTGGGGGGGTCGCCCAGGCCGGACCCCCGGCGGGCAACGCAGATGCTCGGGCGCTCCCGCCCCGCTCCCCGCGCCCCCCGCCTCCGTGTCGCCGCGGGCTCCTCTCCCGGGCCACCCCTGGGTCCTGCCTCCGAGGCCCGGCCCCGAGGTGCCCCGCGGGGGGCCGCGTACCTGCTCGGCGCCCGGCGCCTCGGCGTCCCGGGGCCGCGCTCCGCCGCGCTCGTCGGGCTGCGCCGGCTGCTCGGGCTCCCGCCCCGGGGCCTCGGCGTCCCCGTCGCCGCCGCCGCCGCCGCCGCCTCCACCGCTGCCGCCGCTGCCGCTGCCAGCCGCCGGCCCCGGCTCCTCCTCGGGCTCGGGCTCCGAGTCCGTCTGCCAGGTGGAGTCGCAGTCCTCCACCGTGGTGGGCTCGCGGAAGCTGACCCCGCCGAGCAGGTTGCCCATTGAAGCGCCGGCGGCGGGCGCGGGGCTGCCGGGCTGGGCTGCGGGGCTGGCGGGGCTGGCGGGGCTGCGGCTGGCGCGCTCAGGGCCCCGGGCACGGCCGCGGCCGCCCGCCGCACTGCCACAGCGCGCCGCACGCCGGACGGACGGGCACCCTCGCGGGGAGGAGCCGGCCGCCCCGGGCCCGCCGCCGCCGCCAGCGCGGGAACCCGCCCATCTGCCTCCCTCTCCTCCCCGGGGGCGGGAGCCCGCGCGCCGCCGCCGCCGCCGCCGCCCCCGCCGGCCCCTCCGGCTGCCCCTCGCCGGGCCCGGCTGCACCGTGGGCGGCCGCGCTCCCCGCCCTCGCGCCGCGCCGCTCCCGGGGGGCTCCGCCCCGCGCCCCGGGAGGTCCCGGGCTGTGTCACGGTCCACGCTGGAGGATCCGTCACCTGCCGCAGACACGGACAGACCCAGGCGATGGGGAACCGGGCGCCGCGGGAAACGCAAAGCCCAGCTCAGCGCGGAGGGCGAGAACCTAGGAGGGTCCCCGAGGGTCCTGGGCAAGGCAGAGCCATCTGTGACCTCAACTACGGAGCCAAGATCTGAACCTTTGGATAGGTCCTGTTTGACAACCAGATCTCTTTCTCTAACGGCGATTAGATTTTTTTTTTTGTCTCCCCCGGGCCCTTGCAGTTCTGGGGGAAACTCGACAGCGACTAAGAAACATTAGCTTGCAGAAAGTCTCTTTGGGTTATAAGGGTGGAGGGGAGAATCAAAAAGAGGTGGACACAGATCAAATGAATCCAACGGCCGCACGAATGAATCCAGCTCAGCAAAGCCGGTCATTGGCACTCACTTTCTATGGGTAGAATATTTTGCAGACAGCAGTGGTGTTCCTCAGCGATGAGTATCCTAGACGTAGAAAAGCAAGGAGGAACTGCTGTCACGCTGACCTGTATAAAGAATAACATCTGATCCTCCCACTTGGAGAAATCTGAGCTCCACATTTACTTGCAAAGAAACTAGGCAGGCAGCTTGGGGTGGTCGCTAGGTCCAAGTGCTTCATCAGCTGGGATAGGTGTGTGGCGATTCAAGTTGGCCTCTATATTCTTGGTTCCTCTCCCATGCAGAGGTCTGGTTTAATTCTCCTGCTAGTTCCTGTTAGTCTTTCTTGTGTACTCTAGGTCAGCCCATCCACCAGCTAAATACTTCTCAGTAACCTTCGCTGATGCCGAGGGAGACAAAGAAACTAGGCAGGCAGCAGAGCCCGGATCAAAAATTCCTAATGCTTGGGGGCTGTAGTGAAAGTAAAAAGGTTAAGACCTTTGCCTTACACGCAGCCAGCTGGGTTCAACCCCATCCCTGCGTGTGGCTCCCGAGCCCTGCCAAGAGTGACCCTAAAACACAGGAGTAAGCACGGAACACCGCCAGGCTGCCCCGGTGCCCACCCCAACTCACCCACCTGCCAATTCCACATTCAATACCACTGAACACTTAATGTGTTAATTTATCAACGTACATGAGTTCTAATCATTATTCATCCACAATTCAACAATAATATATTATGGAACAAGGAGGAACTGCTGTCATGATGACCTGTATAAAGAATAACATCTGATCCTCCCACTTGCAGAAACCCTGAGCTCCCGCACTTACTATAGCCATATTCTGTGATACTAGTTTAAACTCTGTCATGATTTCTCATGAAGAGTGATGCTAATGATAAAGGAGGAACTAACTGGTGCTTCAGAAACTAAACTAAACCTTTTTGGAAAGAATCCAAGACCCATGAGGCAATTGTTTTCTGTAGTGGATTAAGTTCTGGGGACATTAACAAAGAAGGTATACTGCAATATACTTTTCAAAGGATTTAGAAACCTTTCAAATTTAGATTAAAGATCATTTTGTCCGTACTTGAGGGTACACTCTTAGCTCCCAGAAATTTAGGATGTGTAGAGAAAAAACAATAGTGTTTAAATGTTTTTCGCTCTCTTTTTATGAAAAGTAGCCCTATTCCTGTTGTGATTCTTTGTGTGTGTGTGTGTGCCTTTTACTCATTTGTGGTAAACTAAACATGCATGGGTGCATGGACGAAATTGGAGAGAAGTAGTGGGGGGTTGCAATTGGAAAGATAATGATGAATAATGAACAGTGAGTGAACTCACTCAACAGTTGAAGCAGTTCTCACTAAGTTTGGTGCTTTCTGTAGCCTTTTTTTTTTTTTAGGCAACTAAAAAATTGGTTGATACTCAAAAGCAATTATGTACTATATAGATATTTGGGGACCAAGTATCTCAAGAAGAACTCAAGAATCCTAGGGGACCCTCCCAGCAATTCTTTGCTAACATGCTGGTAGTTCAAATTGAGGCCCCCCAGGGTACCATGCTGATGAGGTGTTACCCAGGATTAAATAGACCACGTTGGAAATGCTTGGGGAGCCACATGATGTTGGACATCAAACTTGGGTTGTTCACATGCAAAGCATGTTCTTAAAGAAAGCATGCAGTTTTTTTTGTTTTGTTTTGTTTTTATTTTTGGGTCACACCTGGTGATGCACAGGGGTTAATCCTGGCTCTGAACTCAAGAATTACTCCTGGCAGTGCTCTGGGGACCATATAGGATGCTGGGAATCCAAACCGAGTTTGGCGGCATGCAAGGTAAATGTCCTACCCGTATTATTACTCCAGCATGCTGTCTTAACTCACTCTCCAACCAAAAAATACTATATTTTATGGACTTTCAGAAGCAATACATCCCATTTAAGAGATAATCAAATCTGAAAAACTGTATATTCTCAAATCCATCACTGTCACTGTATCACTGTCATCCCGTTGTTTGTCAATTTACTCAAGTGGGCGCCAGTAACATCTCTATTCATTCATCCCAGCCCTGTGATGTTAGCAGACTCTCCTTACTCATCTTTCCTAATGATTGGAAGCTCTTACAGGGTCAGGGGAATAAGAACCGTTATAGTTACTGGTTTTGGCATATTGAATAAGCCACAGGTAGCTTGCTGGGCACTCGAGAGGCAATATATATATATATATATATATATATATATATATATATATATATAGCACTGTAGCACTGTCCTCCTGTTGTTCATCGATTTGCTCCAGCGGGCCCAGTAACATCTCCATTGTGAGACTTGTTGTTACTGTGTTTGGCATATTGAATACGCCATGGGTAGCTTGCCAGGCTTTGCCGTGCGGGTGAGATACTCTCAGTAGCTTGCCAGGCTCTCCGAGACGGGCAGAAGAATTGAACCCGACTTGGCTGGGCCGGCTGTGTTCAAGGCAAACTCCCTACTGCTATGCTATCACTGCAGTGTGTATATATGTGTGTGTGTGTATATATATATATATATATATATATATTACTTATATATCACGGCAAAGCCTGGCAAGCTACCCGTGGCATATTTGATATGCCAAACACAGTAACAAGTCTCATAACATTACTGGGCCCGCTCAAGCAAATTGATGAACAATGGGAGGACAGTGACAGTGACAGTGATACATATATATATATATATATATATATATATACATATATATATTTCTTTCTATGATCTGTTGCCTACTGTCTGAATGCCATCAAACATTGTGTGGTAATTATGGACAATGGGTAGTAAATGTCCCATGATGTGTTGTGCAGCTGGGAAAAGTGGCCTGAATTTTGGTAGAGGTTGGGTGGAGTGGAGGTCGGCTGCCAGGGCTGGGTCCCTTAGGGCAGGAAGGGCTCTCGCTCACCCTCCTCTGGAGTGCCCCAAGTGGAAACAGCCTGGTGCGGAGTCTCAAATCCATACTGAGAACTTTAACATTTTAAAAGGATCAATTAATTTTTAAGAAATAATTTATTGAGTCCTCTCTCTTTAGCAGTGAGAACTATACCACCTAGTACTTCCTAAAACTGGGAAAATAGAACACGTTAGAGGGCTGGGCATGGGTCAGTGTAGAGTGCCCACTTTACAGTGAGGCCCTAAGTTCCATCCCTGGCACTGCCCCATAAGCTTGTGCAACCCAAGTGATCCCCTTCGCACTACCATGTGGGATTGTGTGCAAGTCCCTTGGTCAAGATAACAACAAAAGGGATGAAAAGAGGAAAAATAACAACCTCCTCCCAAAAACAGTCATTGAAAACCTTCATTAAGAATAGTACCTGAACACCAAACAACAACAAAATTAATTTTGAATTTATAACAATCTTTATCAACCTGTGGACTCTATAGTACTCTATGGACTCCAGTCAAGCAAGATACTAGCAAAAGGACCAAAGGGCTGCTATCTCCCTGCTTTGAACTGCTGGATACATAGGGTGTTGCTGGGTATGGAACTGGGAAAGAGCAGAAACACTGCACTGGGTCTTGGAAGCCACACGTTAAACAGCAGGCCATGATTGTTTCAGTTTTAACTGACAGGCTGATTTCCAACGCCGATAGCTACACATATCTTGATTTGGGACAAGCTCTTCAGAAATCCTCAGGATACTCTTTCTCTTTGTAGTAATTGTTCATTTTCTTCGAACCTATTAAAAGCTCGATGAAAATTTACTTCTTAAAGAAAAATTATTTCCAAGTTTTTGAAGGCATTTTAGGGTCACCTGGGGATTATTTTTAGTGAAAATCCAGCAACTTTGAAGAATTTGATACCTTTATTCCCTTAGTGTCTCCTGTAATAGGTCATATACTATAAGCACTTTAAAGTGTTTTCTTAGATGAACAAGCAAACAGACCTTAGCAGTGTTTTATTCATTTAAATGGAAGCTTGTTTGAAAGAATTTGTTATCAGACAGTGGTACTGTTGATATATCTCACTAATTTGTCTGTCATTGGTAGCTTCAATGACAACATATTCAATCACTGATTTTAATGGTAAAGTATCTTCATTTTCGTAGCTTTAAAAACATAGTCAAGGATGATATTTTTTGTTGCAAAAGTGACAAAAATCAACATTTTCTTAATAGTCAGAGACGAACTTTTTTTTAGAGGCACACTTTTGATTATGATTCTGCTGTAGATGTCATCATTCACTGAGAGCTCAGAGACCTCACAAAGTCTGTGCCAGGCCTCTGCCCAAGCTAAGCCTGCGTTAGTCCAGTTACA